CTAACTCTAAGCATATGACACTGCTAACTCATTTAACTTTCACAACAACCCTATGAGATAAGTACCATCAGGAATCCTGTTTTATAGATGAGGACACTGAGGCCCAGAGAGGATTAGCCAGCCTCCAAAGCTCACAAGGCCAGTGAGCACAACGGCCAAGATTCAAACCCAGTCTGACTCAAGGGTAACTGCTCTTAACAACTACACTATTTTGCCCCTGGACCTAACTAAGCAATTACACCACAAAGAAATACAAAGCTCACTTGACAGGTCAAAGAGAATGAGCAAAGGCAGATTCTGCCTGATTCACCTTCCCATGTCATGGCCAAGAAAACCTACAGTGCCTGCTGTCAGCACCAGGCGACATATGAGACATATGCCTAATTAAAAAAAAACATATCTTTTAAACTCAGCACACAATTCTCTTCACAGAGTTCTAAATATAGCTGGGCAAGTCTTCGGATTTTAGTGGGAGTTGCCCAGAGGCAAAGTAACTATTAAACGTAGCTTGAATAGGCAAGTCTGTATTTTGCTTTCCATTTCTGTTGCAGTTCCTCATTTATTTGTTTGTTTGTTTATTCATTCATTTTCTATTGTTTGGTTTACCAACAGGAATGAGCTTGAACGTTTCCTTTTGTAAGGAATACAGGAGACGCTCCTGAAGTCACGTAACTGATTAATGTTGAGATGTTTGCTCAGCCTCTCTTACCAAGGGGAGGGCACCTGTGTGGGGCATGGAGCATCCTTCGCAGAGGCCAAGTGCCCAGCAGCACCCAACGGTGTCCTCTGAAGACCTGATCCAGAAGCGGAGGCTCATCCCCCCACCACAGCACCTGGACCCGGGAGTCTGGGCCTGCCTGGGTGTGGGCAATAGGCAGCCAGCTACACAGAGGGACAGACAAAGTGTAGCCAGGGCAATTCGAATGCATCCCCACTCTACCACCCTTGTAATATGGAATGATCTCCCCGTCTTTCCTTCCTGAGCTAAGAAGTGGGTTCAAGGGAGCACTACCAGATACTGTGGTAGGGCATTCTCAGAGAAGGCCAGTAGGGAGAGGCTGGGTTTTTCATTTTTTTCTTGTCTTTCTTGTCATTCTTTCTTTCTTGTCCTAGCTCTCCCTCTCTGACCTAGGTCCAAGCTCCTGATGTAGGAAGTGATGCCTCCTTGCCACAGATAACGCAGTCAGGTTGCCGGGTGCTGACAAACAGCTTCCACCTGGAGGAGGCAGCGGCTGTGAACATGACCAGCACCTGTGGATGGCATCGTTGAGTCATCTAGAGGAAGCTGCAGCCCCACAGAGCCATTGACCCCTCTGCCCTTCCCTCTGCCGGCTCCTCTTCCTCCCTCTCCCCCTGCCGTCTCCTGCAGAGAACTTTCTACTAGTCCACACACCAACACAGGTGCAGCCCCCCTGCCTGCCTCCCGCCCCGAGTATCATAACCATGGCCAGCAGCATCTCCACATTTCTGCCCAGATCCCCCTGGGAAGGCTCATCCCAGGCCTTCTGTTCAAGGAGGACCCCATCCGATGACACTTGGAGAACCCAGTGTCATCAGAGTCCCTTCTACCACCTGCCACTGTCCCCCAAATCCCCCACACTGGAAGTGTTTAGACTGTCTAAGGACTGTCAAGGGTTTGAGGACCACCCCACAGCAAAAACACTAGAAAGCCAGTTATACAACACAAATCCCAGGCCATGCCCCTGACCTCCTGAGGCAGCATCCCTAGGTATAGATCTCAGAAACCTGCAGTTTTAGTACAAAGGCCCCTTAAACTTGGAGAAGTAGCCTGAATTCACATGGGCGCACCTTACCTGAGCAGGCAATAATACAGTGACAGAAGTGGGAACAGAGGGGACGAGACCTGACACTGGGAAGGCCTGACAGAGGGAAGGAAGGAAAGCACCCAGGCTGGAGGCTCTGGGAACCCCATTCCCAGTCTTCCCCCTAGGAAGCTGTTGTTCCCTGAGGGGCCTGGGGGGGGGGGGCTCTTCTTGATGCCCCAGCTCTTTGAGTTACAGCTTTTCTTATTAGGACATCAGGAGGTGTTGCCCTAGCCTTCCATTCTAACTTCCTCAATGTAGGGGCCTTGCTGGTATCAAGGACAGAGGAGGCCTAAGGATATGTGCAGTCTAGGTGGCCTTGGTGGAGGGGGAGGATTCTATATTCAGGAGAGGACTTCTTGCTGAACTCTTTCTAGATGGGTCAAATGGGGTAGACTGTGGGAGTGGCGTGGGAGGTGGTAAAGAACCAGGTAGCCACTGGATGGATCCCAGGAGTTTACACGGTTGCCTCGGAGATGGAGGGAGCTGAGGGAGAGGAGACACAGGGGGCATCAACACAACCTCTGCAGTCTCTAAGAGTAGGATCAGAGAGGGTCAACGGCCAGAAACCCCTGTGTGTTTAGGAGTGTGGCACCGTGGGTGCCTCCCCTGAGAAGTGAGGCTCAGGTACGGCGCTGGGCAAGAAACCTGGTAGTGCAGCTGCCGCCTCTCTAGAGGAGGCGGTGGTAACACCAAGCCTGGGCCCACTGGCTCTGCCTGCCACCCGAGTCCCTGGCACCTCTCCACACCTGCTCAGCCCTTCCAGTTCACTTAGCACTTGTAGACTGTTGATATGGTTTGGATCCATGTCCCTACCCAAATCTCATGTTGAACTGTCATCCCCGATGTTGGAGATGGGGCCTGGTGGGAGGTGACTGGATCATGGGGCTGGATCCTTCATGAATGGCTTAGCTCCATCTCCTTCATGCTGTTCTTGCGGTAGTGAGTGAATTCTTGTGAGATCTGATTGTTTAAAAGTATGTGGAGCCCCCCGCAACACTCTCTTGCTCCTCCTATTCCAGCTGGGTGAAGTGCTCACTTTCCCTTTGCCTTCGCTATGACTGTAAGTTTCCTGAGACCCTCCCAGAAGCCGAGCAGGTGCCAGCATCACACTTTCTGTATAGCCTGAGGAACGATAAGCCAATTAAACCTCTTTTCTTTAAAAATTACCCAGTCTCGGATATTTCATTTCATTTCCTTTCTTTTTTATTGCGACAGGGTCTGGATCTGTCACCCAGGCTGGAATGTAGTGGCATGATCACAGCTCGCTGTAACCTTTGCCTCCAGGGCTCAAGTGATCCTCCCACCTCAGCCTCACCAGTCACTGGAACTGCAGGCACATGCCACCACACCCAGCTAATGTTCGTATTCTCTGTAGACACAGGTTTTACCATGTTGCACAGGCTGGTCTCAAACTCCTGAGCTCTCGCGATCCACCTGCCTTGGCTCCCAAAGTGCTGGGATTACAGATGTGAGCCGCTGCACCCAGCCTAGGAATTTCACTACAGCAATGCAAGACAAACTAATCCAAAGGTGACTCCATCTGCAGATCCAGACTCCACGGGAAGTCAGCAAGTGTGGCCGTGGGCTCTGCTGCATTTCTGGGGTGGTTCTACACTCGGCACATGCATGCTTTCCTCCGCCTAGCATATCAGCATCAGGAGCTACTGCAGTGAAGTACCACAAACTGAGTGCTTAAAACAACTGAAATGTATTCTCTCACACTTCTGGTGGCCAAAGTCCAAGATCAAAGTGCTGGCCAGGTTGGCTCCTTCTGGATACTCAGAGGGAGAGTCTGCCTGTGTCTCTCCCCTGGCTTCTCCTGGTTGCTGGCAACCCTTGGCATTTTTTGCTCCTAAATGCATCCCTCCCATCTCAGCCTCCACTGTCATCTGATCTTTTTCCCTGCACATCTGTCTCTTCGCTGTGTGTCTGTGTCTTCACATGACATTCTCTCTGCATGTGTCTGTCTCTGTGTCTCTTGTCTTCTGCTAAGGACAGCAGTCATATTGGATTAAGGGCCTAGCCACTCCAGGATGACCTCATCTTAATCTGAAAACATTCAAAGCCCTTATTTCCAAACACGGTCACATTCCTAGGGGCGCGAGGCTAGGACCTGAGCGTATCTTTTGGGAGGAGGAGACACCTGCGACATTGGGATTGGAGAGGACTCAGCGACCTTCCGGGATGTCATTTAGCCTCCCTGGGCTGCCGCTTCCTTATTTGTAGAGGAAGAGGTTAAATTAGACAATCTGTCCCAGGTCTCATGGTCTTCGAATCTGCTTTCTCCTCTGCTGTTTTCTCCCAATGGAAACAGAGGGCCCATGTATTTCCCACGCCTTCCCTCCCTCTCAGCCCTGCTTTCAAGTCTTAGAGTCGGCAGGGGCTTTAGTGCAATATTCCAGGTCCTACCCTCAATTTCTGGTGGAACAACAGGATAAGCGGTCTCTGCGTGCACACAAATCCCTTCAGCTCCCTCCCTGCCCAGCGACCGCTGACCAACCAGCCCAACACACACCTTTCTGCAGGCCCCTTCCCTGCCCCGCCTCTTTCTCCACTCCCTCTGTTTATTTTTATTCCCCAGTCTCTCACCTGATACCTACAGAGCCTGTCTTTCCACCCATTGTTCAGCCGTCAGTCAGCCTAAACATTCTACTTTCTGCCTTTCTCCTCACAAGCACCTTTGTTTGCACAGAACACATAGAGTTTGGCATGTGTCTGCAGACTCTCTGCCCACAGGCTGCAGGTGTAGTGGAGCCAGCCCCAGGCTGAGACAGAGGCCCAGGGTTTTACCAAGCTGTGCTGCTGCCAGCCTGGTGTGACTACCCATCCCACCCTTTCGATTCTTGTGCCTCAGTTTCTCCCATGGATAATGGAGTAGGACTCTATGGGAGTTAACAGACTCCAAGAACATGAATGGGGATGAGCAGAGACCACCAAACTCATCCTCTGCCCATCTCACATCTGACCCACTCACCTCCAAAGTAACACGCACAACTTCACCAAATCCGTGCCCTCCCCCTAACTGGAGGGATGAGGCCAGGACTTGCTTCTGATTTGCACAGCACATCCCCCAGGGCATTTGAATAAAAGCTACTCAGGATGGCCCTCGAGATAAGGTTTTCAGAGCTCTAGGGATCCACACTCAAGGCTGCAGGAGCTCTGAGGAAGCACAGATTCCTGCACGGAAGGCAGAGCACTCCCCATCTATTTTGACTCTAGATGTTAGGAGGAATTCTATGAGCTGTTTTGTAAACTGCACCAAGGCAATGCTGTGTCATGGAAACCAGTGCAGGCAAGATTTCTAGGGAGAGGCAGTGTTTACCCTTGTTACCTGGACTAGAGGTCAGCAAAAGCGGAAGCCCCTCAGGAGTGTGGGCAGAGCCACAGAGGTGTGTGGGCAGAGCCACAGAGGTAAGCGGGCAGATCCCAGCCACTCTACAGCAGATTTGGCGGTGACACGAGAATGCCCGGGGACCTCCATGGTCCTCGGCTGTGTCCCTTGCTGGGCACCTACATGCATGACCTCATTTCAGCTTCATGATGTTTGCAGGAATTGTGATCACTGCTTTTGTTGCTATTTTAACTGGGGGGAGAGAGGGTAAATCACGTTCCCAGAGACACATAGCTAAAGAGAACGTGAAGATTTGAGCCTGACATCATCCATGCTTTTCCTGACATTGCTGGCATTGTGAGAGGAAGGACAGCATATGGTTGTCTTGAAGGGGCAACAAGCTTCAACAACTAATTTCACGTATATGTTAGGAGAGAGGCATGCATGTTTGCTGGGAGGGAAAGGAGCTAGTAGCAAGGGGAAGAGGAACGACTCCAAGACTGCGAGGAGGGCTATTCTTTTCCAGAGTTGTGAAGGGAAGGAAGGGAGGGAGATAAGGGTCAGAAACCTCTCTTTATTTGGAATGGTTTGCACAGAGGCTCACACTCAGACCTTCCCTCTGCCTCAGACAGGCCTCTTCTCTAACAGGTGTAATGCAGTGATGTTTGCCTTTGGCTTGCTTGCTGAGTCATGGCTAGATTTGCTGAGAAAGCTCAGGTATTACTGATTAAGTGTTCCTTTTTCCTCCTTCCCACCAACCTTCGATAATCCATATGATGCCTTCAGTAGGAAGGGAGGAGGATGGATAACATGGAAACAAAATCACCTTGACCAATTTTGGTAGTAAAAAGCCTAGAAAAAGCATGACATTTGTTTTTAATTTTTCTGCCCTCAGAGTGAATCTTGGTCATTGTTACAGAACCTTAGAGCCCCAAGATGATACCTTTTATTTCTAAGGCTCCAGCGTGCAGTGTGAGAAGCTGGCTGATATTGCTTGCTCCACTTCAAAGGTGAAGAAACTGAGGCAGGCAGAGACAGCACTAGATCTGTCTGAGCTCAGTGGAGGCCAACAATCAGAGACTCGATTGAATAACAGCCTCGGAGAAAGGATGCTATAACACTCTTCCAGCTACGGGCTAGGTGTATTATTTTTTCTACAGTAATAAAAATCAGAATTTTAAAGTATATTCCCTTACTTACCCTGGAGGGCTAAAGAACTCTTTCTTCTTGCTTTTTATGACTCTGATTTTACCTGTAGAAGTAAGTGGCACTATAAATCCCCAACAGCTTCCTACCTGCTGTTCTTCCCTAGTGAGGCTTGAAGTGATTACTAGATATGGTTTCAGGCTCTGCAAAATGATAGGAAACTTAGGGAGTTTGCTTTCTTCTCATATATACCAGGAAGAGAGGGTAATTTAAATGGCATTTCATTATCTCAAAAGAGATGACAATAAATATGTTCTTCTGTTACCGAGAACAGACAAGTAATTTCTATTATTGGAGACCTTTCCATGGGAATTAGAGTAAACCTTCCAAGTTCAAACATGTTGCCTTTCCTTATTAGACAATCTTGTACTAAACTGTCACTCTTTAAAACCAGTCACAGCTGGAACTCATCTTTTCCTTAACAATGGGTAGAGGTAGAGAAGAAAGGAATTCAGAACCTTATAGACCCTGATGTCCATGAGGCCCCCCCTCATGCTCGACCACTTTAGAGGCTGTCTCCTCATTGCCAGATGGGAAGAAACTAGTTGACAATCTGTAAGTTGTCTTTTAAAGAGGACAGCACCTGCTCCAGGCCCAACTTATTACGAAATACACATTAAACCAGGATCTCATTACAGCTGTCAGAATTACAATGATTGACAGCTGGGAAATCTCATTATGCATTTCCACAGGATTGCAGCAAAGCTTTGATTAGCATTTAGGCATTCACATTTGCAGAAGCAGCATTTTTATTTGCTCTTAAATAATTTTTATAACACTCAGACCCAGCACTGAAATGCTATAGTGTACTGGCAAGGAGGCTGGTGTCACACAAAACCAAGATGGGTTTGTTTTGTTTCTCCTCAGTGTCATCCTGGCTAGCATGACTCTGGTTTTCCATCTCTTGGATAAAGAAGAAGCCGAACAGAAGCTATTTCAGCTTGTGATTTGCACCAGGAGATGACACAGACTTGCTCTTGACCTCTAAAAAGCACTTCCAAATTCTTATGTGTAATAGAAATGAACGGCAAAGAGGATGGTTTTAAGATAAATAAATCAAAGTGCCATCTTAATTTGCAACCATCAAGGGTCAAGTCTACATGTTCGATGAAATAAAACCCCATAGTTACAAGAAAATTAGCGTATGGTCAGTAAAGATATTTTCATAGACTCTCAGCTTAATATTTAAAGTCATTGGTAACTAATGGTGAAAAGTGAGATTTTTTCCCCAAATCTACTCCTTTTGGCAGAGCATATGGTACTATTGTATCATAAAGGCTATGAGCTCCACTTATTGGCATAGTTTTTGGAAATAGTAATTGTGTTGGTTTTTAGTTATAGCTTCCCAGATCCAAATCCACTATTCCATGCTGTGCTCTATGATTCTGGAATGGGGATGCCATAAACGTCATTTTTCCTTTTTCCATGCTGCTAACTGATATAGAGAGATTTATCTTCCTAATGCCTCTTGCAAATGAAAAGAGATTTTTAAAATCCAGTATTTGGAGTGTTTTATTCCAACCAAAATTCTTCCAGATGAGGCATTATATGGAAATGGGATGTTTGATGAAGCTTCTAGGGTCAGGGACCAAACGCTGAGCAGATGAGAATGCAGCAGCTCCCTCTGGGAAAGACCTGTTCATTCTACTAATCTCATGATAGGTAGGTAATTGCAGAAAACTATTGCAAATCTCTAAGACCTCATAAGACTACCTATTCCCTGAAATACCCTGGAAGTAAGTGGCACCACTGGGAGCTGTGGTGATTGCAGGGCCCTGGGTTGTCTCTTTGATGGTCTTACACAATAGGGCATGATTGCTCAAGTTCCCCTCAAAAGCACCACATACCAGAGCCCTAGGCACCATTCCTAGCCAGAAGCTGGGCCAGTGAAAGAAACGCTGGCAAACGGCCAAGGAGACAGAACTCACTGGGAGCATCAGATCCCATCTCTAAATCCCTGAGCTGAATTTGCTAATTTCCATGTTAGCAATTTTTAATATATTGACATTCACAAGGGACAATTCCTGAGACTTTCTCCTGAAATTCCACTATTTATAAACACTATTAATAATTGGCAGGCCACTAAAGCATTTTCCCTGTTAAAATAAAGGAGAGTATGTGGAAACAGAGCCACATGAAGATGCAGACGATGGTAAGCTACTCTGAATGTAAGGGACCAGCCTCCACTCCCCAGACTCTTAGGGCCAGAGATTCAGATCATGTCTCAGAAAATTAAACTCTTAAGTCACGGCCCTTCAAGGTCATCTGCTAATGGTGCCCAAGAATAGTCTAGCAAATAGTCAAAGCCAGGAAAGTTAAATCTACAAATGCCAAGGGTCTAGTCTGCATATTTACATTGGTCGGTCTATTTTGATTAAAATCTAATAACTAAAGCTCATATAAAGTGAGAATAGAGCATTAAAACTAGAATTAAATTTGGAGGTTTTACATATAAGTCCTTGGGCGTAGCATTTGGCCTCCATAAGTCTTTGTTTCTACACCAGTAAGGTAGAGCCAAGAAATATCTACTTCTCCACATTGCTATGAGGATAAATGCAACATTTTATGCCGAAACACCTTACCACAAGGAGAATTTCAGAGCCCAGGAATCACATTAGAGCTCTTGATAGACCCCATAGCTAACATAGTTAGTGTCTGGCATATAACAGATGCTAAATAAATGTTGGTTGAATGAATGAATGAATTTCCTGAAATGACCTGACAGCATTGTTATGTTATAAAAGAGTTTATACAGATCTTAAAAGAGCCCATGCCAAAGGAGAAGTAACATAGACACTGAAAGAATTTGGATGTTTAAAGTCTGAGATTGTGTTGTAATTCGTTGAAGTATGCTCCTTCTGCAAAGCTTTAAGAACTTTCCAGGAATTATATCATTAATCATGAGTTCTTCTGATAAGAAAAAAACATACTAGGTACAGCAGCTGCATGGCAGCTAAAGAAGCTGAAGAACAGCCTTCTTACCTTGATCGGCCAACCTGGACCCTGAGCCTTGTGGTGCTCAGAGATTGACTGTTTCCAGAAATCAGGGATAAAGAATGGCAAAAACACGTCTTTTGGCTATAAATAACCTAACCACATTTCCACTGACAGGTCATTTTCTTATTTCTTCTTCCCTCCTCTGGAGAAGAGGAATGGATGTTATCCAATGACTCCTGGTGATACAATTTGGCTGTGTCCCCACCGAATCTCATCTCCAATTGTAATCTGAACTGTAATCCCCACATGCTGAGGGAGGGCTTTGGTAATAGGTGATTGGATCATGGGGGTGGTTTCTCCCCTGCTGTTCTCTTGATAGTGAGTTCCTACAAGATCTGGTTGTTTGATAAGTGTCTGGTGCTTCCCCCTTTCTTTCTCTCTCTCTCTCTCTCTCTCTCTCTCTCTCTCTCTCTCTCCTGCTGCCATGTAAGACGGGCCTGTCTGCTTCCCCTTTGCCTTCTGCCATGATCGTAAGTTTCCTGAGGCCTCCTCGGGCAGGCAGAACTGTGAGTCAATTAAACCTCTTTCCTTTATAAATTACCCAGTCTCAGGTATTCTTTATGCAGTGTTAAAAGGAACTAATACACTTGGTATGGTATACCCTGATGGTAAAATTTGCTCAGTAAATATCACTGCAGGCTCTGGCTTCTCTGTAAAGCAGCCTCAGTATTGAGATAAAATAGGTCAGGGAGATCATTTGACCAATACCCATTCAATGCTCTTATCCATGGTCTCAGAGCTGTGCTTCTAATGAAACAAAGCCCCACTGCTTAGATCGCTTCTAGGGAAAGTGAAAAGATGTGCTTGTTGCTGACTCCCCCATCTCCCCACCAGCTGTATTTCACTACACTGCAAATCCATTACAGGCCAGATGCATTGCCCAAATGCTATCAGTGAAAATGTCATTGCTTCCAGGAATCCAAAGATGCTTTTTATGTTGCTTAGAGCGCTGGGCATTTCACTTAAATATTAGGCAAAGCTGTAAATAAAAACGCCTATTTATATGTGGCATTATTCCTTCTGAATTTCCTTATTAAAACAACAAGGATGACAGCACCGCTAAACCCCTCATGGCAGTTTTCTAAAGAGTAATCCAGTACCACCGCCACCAGCAGATACTCAGGAGCCTGAAATGTCACATCAAGGTAATTTGTTATGGAAAATAAAAAATAGTAAGTAATACATGAAAAACTGCAGAAAAAGAGTCACATCTTTTTCTGACCAGTCAGAATGCAATCAGGGATGTCAAAAACAATAGTTTGGGGGTTATATCCTGTAATTATGAGAGATTCTGCCAATGTTCAATGGTTCCTAATAATAGGTGAAATTTTTAGGAACCATTAGGTGATTAGGTGTGGCTGAATGCACCTTTGTAAATCAAATTACAATGAATTGTCTAGGTACCTGTCCTTCCCACTTGGCCATGAGCTCCTGGAGGGCCTCACATATAGCAGATGCAGGAAGAACGAAAGGAAGGAAAGGAAAATTTAAATAGCTGCTGCAAGGACATAGTAGAGAAGTCCCTGGAAATCTTCATAGGAGGCCGTCTTCTGAGAATATAAAGGGCCGTCTGACAGATGGAAGAAGAGGACTCTGGGAAAGGAAGAGGAGAGCAATGGGGAGGCACATTACCAAAGGTACCTGCCCCTTTGGAAAAGGAGCTCAGAGATTTACACAGGCAGAGGCAATAAAGGACCAAAAAATGTACTTATGTTCAACTAACGTCTCCTGCGCCATCTTTTCAGGGCTTGCCCATTGACAACCAGTTCCCCTGGGTTTTCTGGATCTGGACACCTCTTTCAACTCTTAGGTTGAATCCCAGAACGACCATTTGCTAACTGTTGGCATCTCCTTGAACTTCACTTCTTCAACTGAAACTAAAAACGATGCTAAGTCCCTGGGGATACTATGAAGATTAAGTCTCCAAAGAAGTAACTGTCATAGTTTGTGGCACTGTCACTCAAAAAACAAAACAAAACAAAACAAACTATTGAATATGTGCTATATTCTAGCAACCTCCTACTGCTATGGGCTGACTGGGAGCTGTCAGATTCTGTAACACACTTGGGATGAGTGAGAAGATGGGTGGCCCAGAAGTGTTAAAAATAGGGATTATTATAGAATACTTATTATCAAAATACCCATGTAGCGCCATAGTTATCACTCAACAGGTATTATTGTAAGTTCCCCAATTACAATAAATGATTATTGTCAACTATGACTTTTGGGGGTCACAGAATGGGGGACTCAATGGAGGAAAAAACCCATGGGCACACAAAAGCTCTGTCTCTCCTGTAATAATTCAGACTCAAATCTCACAAGTTTCATCTAAAATAAGCAAAACAAAAAACAAAACAAAAAAAACAATGAAAAAAAATGTGCATAAGAAGATGACTTTCTCATCAATATGTTCATTGCTTAACTAAATTGTCTCAATGACCTGTTTAGAAGCACTGGGGAAGTGCAGCAAGGATCTGATGAAATAATGGGAGAATAATTATGTTGAAAGCAATAAGAAGCAGTGGGTATAGTGGAACTCACATGGGTACTGGAGAGATGGAAAGGTGGGCTCCTAATCAAGCCTGCTCTTCCTGGTTGTGTGATGTAGGCAAGTTCCTTAATCTCACCAAGACTCAGTTTTTATCTCTGTAGAATGGGGCCGTTAATACGTATTTTGAAGACTGCAGAGAGAATTAAATAAAATGAGGCCCATCAAGTCCCTGGCCCATAAGTATTTGTTTTTCCTCCTCTTGAATTCCTCTTATAATAGTGTATCAGGTTTCTACCATATGGCCAATGATTAGCTTATTCCATTCATTATGTGTTAAAAGTATGTATTCTTACTTAGGGACAATGTATATTATGATGCAGCTGGCAATTTGTCCAAGAGAGTTAAAGGGATCTGGCAAAGGTCTCAACTGCCCTTCCATGACACAAGCTTCTGGTGGGCAAGGAGCGTGTCCTACTCATCTTTACACCCCCTAAGGTGTCAAACACAGTGCTGGTCACATAGCAAGCTCACTAGGTGTTTGTGGAAACTGATCCATTTGTCTCAAAATATTCACATGTTCTGTTCTATTAGTTCTGCAGGGCATTTCCAAAGTATATCATGGAGACCCTCAATATTTATAAGACATACTGTGTTCAGTTATCCTCACCTTGAGTTTTTCAACCCTTGGCTTTCCAAAGAGACCTAAGGAATTGAGAACTTTGAGAATCATGATGTTATTTATTTATTCTTTTCATGTTTCATGTCCTCCCAGTTGGGCAAGGCAGTGGGTAGAACCGCCAGAAGTGTGATAAGATTTTAGATCCTCCATTTGCAACCTGTGACACTGCAGATAAGAGACATCATTTCTTCAAACCTAGATTATTACGATGATGTTATCCAAATTTACTGAATCTAAACAAAAGAGCTGGAGCTATTATCCCAGGGGTAATTGTATAGTTTCTGCTTCTAGTTGTATTCAGCTTCACAGAGCCATTTTTAACTGTAAATGGAAAAGGTAGTGACTACAAGTATTTGAAGTGCTCCTTCCAACTCAACTCACAAAAGGAATACTTTATTCTCAATAGCTTTTCCAGACTTCTAAAATTCCCTGCACTACAGATTTATTCTCTGGGGGTTAAGGCATCACCCGTCTGCCATCCTCTGATTTAATGTCAACAATCAGCTTATTTGCTTATGAGTTTAAAAATAAAAGGCTGGTTCCACAAAAGATCAAACACAGAATTACCATACAATCCAGTTTTTCCATTCTTAGGCATATACCCAAAGAACTGAAAGCAAGGATGCAACAGATACCCTTATACTGATGTTCATAGCAGCATTACTCACAATAGTCAAAATGTGGAAGCAACCCAAGTGTCCATCGACAAACAAATGAATAAACAAACTGTGGCATAGGCACACAATGGAATATTACTCATTCATAAAAAGAAAGGAAACTCTGATACATGCTACAATACAGATGAACCTGGAAAACATTATATTAAGTGAAATAAGTCAAGTGTAAAAGGACAAATATTTTATGATTCCACTTATGTGAGATACATAGAATAGTCAAGTTCATATGACATAGAATGGTGTTGCCAGGGGCTAGGAGCAGGGGGAAGGGGGAGTTACTGTTTAGTGCATACAAAGTTGAGATGATGAAAAAGTTCTGGAAATAGTGGTGATGGTTGCAAAACATTGTAAATGTGTTTCATGCCACTGAAATGTACAGTTTTAAATGGTTAAATGGTAAATCTTCTATTACGTATATTTTACCAATTAAGAAAACAGGGGCAGGTCATGAGAACCCCCCACTTTCCATTGTATTCTAACTCTCTAGATACTTTATGTATGGAAATTGCCCCATGATGAAATTATTTTGGGTTGATTGGCTAGAATGATTAATTTTCAAATCCTAATAGGAAAATAAAAGAAATGAATTCACTCACCAAGTTCACCTCAACCTTAAAAGGGAGGGGTGAGAAATGAAGTCAGATGACCGAGACAGTGATTCTTATCATCAGAAACCACAGCTGTCACAGAGCTCTTTAATTTATTCATTGATATGCTGCGAAAACCACAGCTAAATGTCTGAGGTGCAGCTTCTCACCCAGAAAGTTCAATTACATCATGTGAAGTAAAGTGAAGCAATTTCTTCTGTTGAGGGGATGAGGGCGAGGGGAATCTGGTTTAAAATGAATTTTTGGATGTAAGCAGAACATGGGGAGTGACACTCGACTGAAAAACTGAGACTTCCAGTAAACAACCACCTCTTACCTGGAGTATGAAGGGTTTGTTTTATTTTGAAGGGAATTTCAGCAGACAATAAAAATGAGATCCAAGGAATTCAACTAAGCATGGAACCTGAGGTTTTACTGCCTGGATAATGTAGGCAACGGGCTGCTGAGGAGACGTAACACTGAATATTTCACAAGCCTCATTTCAAAATATGTGTGTTAAGGTCACAGTTTTGTGAAATGTCACACCTTCAGTCCTCAGCACAAAGTTAAGAAGAGGTAGTTAATGGAAATAAAATGGGCCATAGATGGAAAGGAAAGTGAAAATTGCAGACTTCTGCCAATGTTTCATACAGAATGAAGTCTGTCCAAAGGAAAAAGTATTTGCAATCTTTCTTGTATCAGAAATCTCTGCTACTTGCTGAATTCTTATGCCTTAAATCACCTCTGCTAAGCTGTTTCCATCCCAACTCACTACTGGTTTTCTTCCCCATAAGTAATGTTAATTGGCCTTCTCTGAAAGTAAGGGGGATGCCTGCATCGATGAACAGCCTTATCTGTGGAGCACAGCCTCCCAGGACAGCCAGAAGAATTTGTAGTCTGTGCATTTGCAGTGTCAGCTGGGTTTTGCCTGGGCCTGACTCCTCCACTTCACACAGGGCCATATAAACAGCCTCACTCGCCATCACTCACCTTGTAAGTTTCCCACAACCCATTTTTGTATGTCCGCCTCCTCTCTGGCGGACTATGCTGCAGTCTATTTGGTTTTTTTGTTTTTGTTTTTGTTTTTTTTTTCACAGGTTCTATCCTTTTGGAGGCTGCACATATTTCTTTGGACAGAAATGGCTCCATTTTCCTTATTCTTGTTTTCTCTCCTGCGGCAACTTTGGCAATGGCAGAAGTGACAATGTTTATCTCAGGCCTCTGTTCATAAAAAGAGGCCTGGTTCCAGCCTGCTGAAAGCAGAGCCAAGTCTCAACTTTCCCCACTTGATTTAGCCTTTTACGAGTTTTGGAACACAAGTTTGGAGTTAAAGAGAGCTGGGGCCAGATGTAGTGGTTCACACCTGTAATCCCAACATTCTGGGAGGCCAAGGTGGGCAGGTCACTTGAGGTTAGGAGTTCGAGACCAGCCTGGCCAACTTGGTGAACCCCTGTCTCTACTAAAAATACAAAAAGTTTAAATAACAAAAAGCTACTGTTATAGAGCATAATTTCATGATTTTAAAAAAAAAAAAAAAAAAAAAAAAAAAAAAAAAAAATTAGCCAGGTGTGGTAGTGCAAGCCTATAATCTCAGCTACTCTGCCTTTGTTCCTCCTTCACCTTCTACCATGATTCTGAGGCCTCCCGAGCCACGTGGAACTGTCAGTACATTAGACCTTTTTTTCTTTACAACTTACCCAGTCTTGGGTATTTCTTCACAGCAGTATGAAAATGGACTAATACACCAAGTGTCCTCTTCAAGTTCTGCTTCATGCTGTATTTTTATGTTTTTTGTTAGTGATTCTGCTGCTTAAAACGTTCCCAACTCATGGTGCTGAAACACTCACTGTCTGGTGTTCTCAGTGCAAGATGCAAGGACATGCCTCATGGAGAAAATACATGTATTAGAGAAGCCTGGTTCAGGCTCACTTTTCTCTTTCTGTGTAAATTATATTTTCACAGGAACATGTCTATTTTATCTAAGTTTAAAATATAGTACAATAAAGTTTTTCATTATTTTTTTTTCATTTTCTTTTTTTTTTTTTTTTTTTTTTTTTTTTNCCCTGGCTGGAGTACAGTGGCACAATCTCGGCTCACCAGAGACTCCACCTCCCAGTTCAAGCAATTCTCCCTGCCTCAGCCTCCTGAGTAGCTGGGAATACAGGTGCTCACCACCTTGCCAGGCTAACTTCTGTATTTTTAGTAGAGATGGGGTTTCATCATGGTGGCCAGGCTGGTCTTGAACTCCTGACTTCAGATGATTCACCCCCTCAGCCTCCCAAAGTGCTGGGATTACAGGAGTGAGCCACTGTGCTTGGCAATAGTCTTTCCTTCTTTCCTTCCTTCTTTCCTTTTCTTTCATTCTTTCTTCTTTCTTTTTTTTGAGATGGAGTTTCACTCTTGTTGCCCAGGCTGGAGTGCAATGGTGCAATCTTGACTCACTGCAACCTCCACCCTCCAAGTTCAAGTAATTCTCCTGCCTCAGCCTCCCAAATAGCTAGGATTACAGGCACCCACCACCTTGCCCGGCTAATTTTTGTATTTTTAGTAGAGACAATGTTTTACCACGTTGGCCAGTTTGGTCTTGAACTCCTGACCTCAGGTGATCCACCTGCCTTGGTCTCCCAAAGTGCTGAGATTACAGGTGTGAGCCACCGTGCCCACCCTCTATGTATTTTCTATGATTTCTTCCCTGATCCAGGTTCTTTTATAGGTATGTATAATTTACTTTCATTTTCATTTTGGAGAATCTCAAAGACACCCAAAAGAGGAAAACTCATGTAATAAACCTTCACAGACTCATCATTCAACCTCAACAATTATCAACATTCTGCCATTTTGTAAGAAGTACATTTCAAATATGGGACATTTTTCTAGATCTTTTAGTTGTTATCAATCACATTGTTGTC